AATAAAAAACCCAGGACCGGCTCTGCCACATTCCTGCTTTAGATGTGGATCAGGTTCCGGCCGTGCCCGTTCTGTGGAGATCCTGCCCAGAAACTGAACGGATGATTAAATAACGACAACCCGAGACTCTGACTTTCTGTTCTAACTCTGTGGAAAGGAATGTTATTATACATGTTTCTTATCACAAACTGGATTATTGACACTTTTAAATCTCTTATCACCTTATAGCTGTCTGGGTAAATACAGCCGTACCCATTACTGCGCTCTGAGGACTTATTATTACTGAGTTAAAGTTACGGCTGGTCAGTGCTGAGAGCTCCATTTACTACTGTGGTGTCATGGGGAAATCCTGCACTCTGATTGGTCAGAAGGTGTTGATTAGTTCTCTATAACAGCAGCTCTGACAGTAGCGCAGGTTTTTATTAATGCACTCATGCTAATACGTTTCTATAGTAACGGCTCATTCTCAGGGACGTGTACAGCGGACGCGCCACATAAACGGGTTAAAAACATTTTTAAAGTTTTCTGTAAGGAGAAATGTGTTTATGTGACACTGATGGAAGGAGTCTCCAGTGTCAGCGCTCTGTAACAGTCAGAGGTGAAGCTGTAACTAAGTTTTCCGACGTCTTCAGGACAGAGGAGTTTACGCTGCTTCTTTGCGGTTTCTCAGTAACGTGACGTAACAAGCTGCGTTTTTTTCTCTTATTAACTTGAAGAGAGAGAATAAAGAGGCTGGTGAGGGAACGAGTGTTTATAGCTGCTGTAACGTAAGAGACAACAGGAACTAACAACACTCCATAACATTACACGTAAATATTAATGGCAGAATCATGTTTTTTTTTAATAAATACAAAATCGTAATTGTTGGTAAGTCGCTGTGGTGTAAGTGGAATAAAACACTTGGGGACGTGCTGTTAGAGGAAAATAACTAACTTCCAGGAGACTCCACTTCATCACCCCGTCAGTATTTTACTGAACCCGCAACACACAGTGTTTATTATTTGCATAATTATTATTAAGATAAAAAATGTCTATGAGATTTTTAAAATAAAGGTTCATTATAAAAGGTAAACAGAGGTCAGCGTACGACACTAAGCAGTGAACACTACAGGAAGGTTAAGAGTGTGTGACTGTGAACATTGGCGTGGTTCCCCTTATGTTATCCAGTCATGTTGACTTTACATCGTGTCTCGGGAAAAACTGTGTGTGTGTCTGTGTGTGTGTGTGTGTGTGTGTGTGTGTATGTGTGTGTGTAGGTTGTGTTTCATATTGGTGTAAGAAACCTGAGTAGGCAAGATGACACGCCTAGATGGCCTGCTGCTGTGGTGACAGAAAAAAGTTGGAGCCCAAAGAAGACACACACACACACACACACACACACACACACACACACACACACACTTCCTGATATCCTATCTATGTAATGATGCTATCTATATTCACAAACTTCCCCATAGTTCCAGATAAAGGCTTAGAGCTCTATTTCAACAAACATCATAATGTGTGTGTGTGTGTGTGTGTCTTCTTTGGGCTCCAGCAAGTTACTGTCATGTTTTGTATCTTGGTGAGGACCAAATGTAAGAATATCTGACAGTTCTGGTGAGGAAAAAGGGATAAATTCACATATTTACAATATATTTTTTGTGAATCCATTTATTTCTGTAAAGCTGCTCTGTGACGATGTTCACTGGTAAAAGCGCTAAACAAATAAAACTGAACTGAACTGAATTAGTGGTATTAATAATTGTGTCAGTGGAAGGAGCTGACAGTAAGACAAACTCCGGTTAAATCCAAAGCAGTAATGTTTGTGTTTTTATATTTTTCATCTGATACTTTTGTGTTTTTATACTGTTACTCAACCATTTCTTAAAATAATATTAAAAATGCTAGTACCAACATGTTATTAGTGTAAACATTAATGTGTTTCTGCTGTAAAGATGTTTCTCACAAAAGTTACTGTGTGTTATTAAATTAATCAGTAACACCTAATGCAGAGTCTAGCGGCTGTATGATATGTAAGAAGGAAGATAAAAGATGCCGTGTCTGTGATTATGGATGTCACTTTCAGACACTGAGAAGCGGCTGCATAAAAGAGGAGCACTGTTCGCAAACCGAGCTGTGTCTGTCAGCGTCTTTCGTTTTCTCTAAACAATACACAGAGTTGCTGAGGAGCAATCTAAATCTAATCTGTAAACTAAAACAAAGTGACACAAGAATGAATATTAAACTTTTATTAGAGGAATATACAGAATGTTTTACTCAAACCAAATACAATCAGCTAAGACTTGTCTGAAGCTAAATTCTTCACTTCCCCTAAAATGATTCAGGAAATAAACACATGTTGATAAACTTTACGTCACTTTGTTATACAGGAAATACAGTAGTGAGTCTCTGGGTGTCTCCCTGCTGGTAATAAAGCATGGCGTGACTACTGTGCACTTCTTTACGAGCACATAATTTCATTTTACAAATCTGTTTTATTGTGTTATATGCACTATTAAAATTATGCAGATGACATCACCATTTGTAATGTAACTCCTCACCCATGTTATGTTTCCGGTGTAACATTATTTATTAATAATTAATCAATAAATCTAAATTTTTTCACATGTACATGTATTTCTTCAACTCTTCCTCTTAGTAACACAAATCTTCCCCTCAGCAACTGTATGCTTCAGAACGTCATTTTATCCTTATTAATCATAATGTTAACCTGGTAAACAACTAGAATAACTGCGGATGAAGAGGGGTGTAATGTGCAGGTTTCGGATCATTAGCAGTGGTTTGAAAGGGCCCTCAGTTATATGGGCCACCAGCTAGTTTCAGTAATCAACTGCTCGTACAGGTGGCTGTCCTGCTTATTCCGATGGGGTCTGTTTGATCTCCTGGTGTTATACTGAGCAAATCTGCAAGATCAGAAGATATCTGAGATGTATTTCAGGAAGAATTACTCAAGGATCCCAGTGAAGCTCATTAGTAGTAGCAATGACAAGCCAAATTTGAGGAGTTTGCTCATGTCGGATTGAGGGATTTGCTGGGAGAAGTTACCACAGAAAGGAATAAAACTATCATAGCTTCCTGAACCATACTTTACAATAATAACGCTTAGAAATGGGCAACATGTAGGCTATTGCAAAAGGTATGACATATCCATCATTTTGCATTATAATTATAACTAGCTTTGCATTTCCTGAAGGAAACACACAGTGCTTGAAATGAGCTGAAAGAAAGTGTAAAAGAAAGTTTTAAAAAGGTAAAAATAGTAAAGAACAAAGCTGGTATGTTGCTAGCATGGCGCTGTGGTGTTGCGAGTGGCTGCTAATGTGTTGCTAGGCAATTGCTTTGGTGTTCTCAGGTTTAGCTATGGTGTTGCTATAGAATTCCATGTGGTAAGGGGGCATTTATTTTTGGAATACACCCACTGAGGGGTGTATTTGTTTTAGATTTGGGGAATTTAACAATGTGGGGGTATTTTGGGGGGTTGAGGATTTCAGCATTGGTGAGGGTAACTGTTTTTTGGTTTGGAGCGTTAACACTGAGGTGGATAAACTTATGAAGCAACATCCTATGGACAGATGAGAAGATTAACTTGTAGGAGAATGATGAGAAGAGAAGAATATGGAGAAGGGAAGGATCTGCTCATGATCTGAAGCGCACCACCTCGTCTCCCGGTGTGGGCGTGGGCGTGCACGGCTACCAGTGGAACTGGTTCTCTTGTATTTATTGATGATGTGATGGATGAGAAAAGCAGCAGGATGAATTCTGAGGTGTACAGAGTGATATCATCTGCTCACATTCACACAAATGCTTCAGAAAGCACTGGATGGAGCTTCACACTGCAGATGGACAACGACCTGAAATGTATTTCTAAAGTCCTGTTTGCTACAACAATAAATCATTGTGTACCTGCACTTGCATCCTGACAGCCAGGTCTTTACTGCAGCTTGTTCTTGGGGCATTTTGTCTTCAGTTTTAAATTTATCAAATTTTACCTTCACAAGTTTGGCAACTTAATTGGATTCAGGTACACAATGATTTATTGTTGTAGCAAACAGGACAAAGATGAAATCCAAAAAACTTAGTCAAAAAAAACCAGGCAAGGGTCAGACGATGAGCAAACAACACAGATGAGGGCAGGCAATATGTGAACAATAAAACTAGATCAAACCAGAAAGACTTTAACAGAAACAAAAGGCTTGGTACCGACTGGCCCAAAGGACACAGAGCGGCGTATAATTCACACTGCACGTGTGAACTGAAAGTCCTTAAATGCTGTGTGTGGCTGTGACTATGATTGAATCCAGGTGTGTGTGATTAGTAATCAGGTTTGAACACGAGAACGTTTGGGTGTTGTAGTCCTTTGGGCCATATTTGTAGGCTGTGCTGAATTCTGGGATGTGTAGTTAGACGCTGATTCTGGCCTCAGCATGACACTGGCAGAGCTTCCCCAGAGAAGAAACCCAGCATCTGGTGATGTCTGTGGGTTCCAGACTTCAGATTGCAAAGGTTTTGCAACCAATTATTATTTAATTTACGATTATTTTAGTTTGTCCAAATTATTTTGGTCCTTTAAAAAGGGGGGGGGGGGGGGGGTACACCTACAATGCTGCAATTCCTACACTGTTCACCCAATTTGGATGTAAATATCTTCAAATACTTCTTTTGGTTTTGGGGAAGTTGACAAGTTTGGGGAAGTGTTAGCTCAGTGGTCATGAGTTCAATCCCCAGCACCACCAAGCTGCCACTGCTCAGCCCTTAACCCTCAGCTGCTCAATTGTGTAAATGAGATAAATGGAAGAAGTGAAGTAACATGTAATGACCCATGCTCGGAATTTGTGCTCTGCATTTAACCCATCCAAGTGCACACACACACACACACACCCCCACACACACCCACACACACCCAGAGCAGTTGGGGTTCGGTGCCTTGCTCAAGGGTCTCAGTGGTGGTATTGAGGGTGGAGGAGACACTGGTCATTCACTCCCCCACCTACAATCCCTGCCAGACCTGAGACTCGAACCCACAACCTTCAGATTCGCCTTTGAGTTATAAGTCTGACTCTCTGACCATCAGGCCACGACTGCCCTGCGCTGGATAAGGGCTTCTGCCAAATACCATAAATGTAAATGTTAACAAACAGGGGGATTATTTATATTTGGGCTTTGGGGAAATTCGAGGTCAGGGGGGTATTTATTTTTGGTTGTTGTGGCAGTTAGCAGGCAGGGTGGTGTTTATGCACATGAGTGAATAGGCAGAAGGTTAATGTTGGGGGGAAGTGCAGACCTGCTCTCCTGCGAATGTGCGTATGTGTGAACTCGTAACTGACATTTCATTGTGTAGTTTTGATGGATGTCTACTAAAAAAATTCTAATTTAAATTTAAATAATTAAAAAATTATAAATGTAATCTAAACCAAAAAATTTACAGCACACCTCTGACGACCAGGTGCTTCAAAACATATTTTGAATGGAGTTAAATATTAAGTGCTTCAGGCTGTGTTATCTAAACATTCCCTGAATTTTATTTCCAAGTGACACATATTTTTGTACCTGCATAACTAGGATTGAAAATGAAACAAGATCACAGAACAAGATATTGATGAAAAGGCAACAAACGAATAAATAGATAAGAAATAGAAATAGATAAGAAATATAAAATAAAATCAGTAAAATAATCATTTAGCAAACAGACCTAAAAACAAAGACAAACTTTTTTTTGTGTCCTGTTGCCATAGGTAACCACTGCACAGAAACAAACAGATTCCATATTCCCAGTTGTGAAATACTGATGTGTGGGTGATGTCAAGAGTCACAAGAGCTGCGACTCATCAGGCTAAGGTGTGTAAGAACCGGTCCTAGCAGGGAGGAGAAGAGGAACAGGAGTAAGGAGAAAGAGATGTGTGTGTGTGTGTGTGTACATGTTACTTTATGGAGCTTGAATCTTTCAAGCCTTATCAGTAAATCCCTGGCACACACACATTGTTTTGTTTTTTTTACTTTCTTTATCAGATAGATCCATTTGATTTGTGTATTACTGTAGCCAAATAATACTAAACTAAACCTAAAGTTAACCCTAACCTCAGTAACTCTAATTCTAGTTTTGCAAGTTAGACAACCACTTATAACTAGTCTACTACTGGAGTCTGGTACTTTATGTCACTTAACGCAGGAACAGCATACAAGAAGACCAACCATAGACTGCTAACCTTAACAGACAATAGTATGTAAACAATGCGGCTTACTGTAGTCACATAATTAGGCAGTTAAATAAACTTTGTAATCCTAACCTCAACCCTAACTTTACTCACAGTAACCCTAACCTTACTCACAGTAACCCTAACTTTACTCACAGTAACCCTAACCCTAACCCTACTCACAGTAACCCTAACCTTACTCACAGTAACCCTAACCTTACTCACAGTAACCCTAACCCTAACCTTACTCACAGTAACCCTAACCTTACTCACAGTAACCCTAACCCTAACCTTACTCACAGTAACCCTAACCTTAACCTTACTCACATTAACGTTAACTTTACTCACAGTAACCCTAACCTTACTCACAGTAACCCTAACCCTAACCTTACTCACAGT